CTCTCCCTTGTGCCCACAAGACGAGCTTGTGAGATTGGTAGGGGCGAAAGGAGGGTCTCCCCCGAAGATCGAAGGGCCTGGGTTGGTACATGGAGAGAGATATGGTCACGAAGGTAGGCGGGTCCCAAAACCGTTTAGGGCTTTGTAGGTGATAACCTGTACCTTGAATTGGGACTGGAAAATAAACGGCAGCGAGTGGCGCTCCTTTAAACATGGGGGTCAACCACTCCCTATAACTAGTTCCAGTTATTAATCTGGCTGCCAAACGTTGGACAAGTTGTAGTTTCCGGGCCGTCTTCAAGGGTAGCCCCACGTAGAGTGCATTACAGTAATCCAGTCTAGAGGTAACTAAGGCATGGGCCACCGTGGTCAAGTCAGACTTCACGAGGTATGGTTGCGGCTGGCGTGTTTCCATTCATGTTTACTTGTTGCCAGATTTGGGAGCAGGACAGAAGGAAAGTCGGAACCAGAGAGAAAACCATTTTTATGTGTTTACCCAGGATCTTAAACCACTGTTTATTTCTAGGTGAAACAAAGATTCATCTTTTCAACTATTTGATGAGCAATAAACATTATATTATTGTAATAGACTTTTTTAGCATATTGTTTTCCTTATTTTACTACTGCTTAAAACATCTAGCAGTGTTTTGACCATTTAAATTGTCAGTATATGCTTTCTTATTGTAATATTTGCAAGATGCCAGGAGCTCTGGCTTGTGTCTCTGATAACAAACATGAGTCATGAGCCAATAATACTGCCTTGTAACTCTGTCTTATCAAAAGAAAAGAAAATTAAAGTTCCCAGTTCAGATTTGTGCTGAAGAAATCATGTACAGAGGGTCTGTAACTTATCTAGCTGCTTATGCCGGTGGAAGGAGCCAACTGAGGAATGATCAAGCAGAATGTACTAGTTTACCATTACTTGTGAGCCATGGAAAATTAGGATTACCAGTGCTAGAAATATCTAACTGAGACCTCAAATACAGTATTTACTTGTCATCAGCCATAGAAATAAACATCACCAAGCCTCATTATGTATATTGTGAATGTCAGTACTAGATTTCATTTTTCATGGTTTTTGTGTATCAGGTCTCTATATTTTGCTTTAGACAGTCTAGCCACAAGGTTCATTTTTGGCAAAAATTTAAGACAATTTTTTTGATCTGAAGTTTTCAATCTCAGCAAAAAGTTTTTAATCCAGCAATATGTGTGAGCAATACTTTAGAAAACACTTTCTCCTAATTGAATGCCAGCTCAGTAAAAAAATGATATACGAGTATAAGTAGAAAATTTAGTTAATATTATTAAGAAACTTCATAGATAATAGATTTTATGTCTTAATTAAATCAAACCATAAAATCAAGAGATCAAACGACTTAGAAAAGCACTGACATTGCTGAAGGTTATATGTGACTGAGCTCCACTTTTTAGAAATGGTTCTAAAGCAAGGAGACCTGATCCAGAAATTCAGCCAAAGTGGAAGGGAATGGAGAAAACAACTTGACTCTTTTGATGTTTAATGTTCAGTGCAGCTACAGTTGCTTTCATAATTGATTATAATTAGCATAAAAAGCTGTATGGGTCTTTGAAAACAACATGTACCTTGCAATTGTTTTAGATTTAGATTGTGCGAGGGTTTTGATATTTCTATAAAGAGTTCTATAAGTTCTATAAGTTATATTTTTACATCTTTTGTTCTAGTAAAAGATGTATCTATGACCTGAAATCTCAAGAGTTGTGCTGTTGGTTCAAGGATATTATTGTGTAACCTTGCTTAAAACTGGATGCATGCAGCACAAGCAGTGTATATGTTATAGCATGGAGGATGATCAAAGTAAACAAGCTACTCTCAAATAGATGGAGGAGAATGGTAAAAATCAGATACCTTTTCTTGTGTAAATAGAATTATTTTTTCGCTGAGATGAAGCCTTCATCAGAAGCTTATCTCATTGCAAGTGGTGTTTCTCCCCATTCTAGATGTAATTGCTAGGTCAAAACTGGTAAAGTGTCTTTAAAAAAGAGTGAATCTAATGACACCCTGAAGTCACCCATAAATGAGCACTCGTGTAAAGATTCTTTGAAGTTTCAACCTATTATTTAGTGATTTACCCAAAGAAAACATTGTATAAGCATCATTTTAAGTCATATTCATTAACTTTTACTTTTATTGCTCCTACATCGACATGCTAAAAAATTTATATGATAGAAAGGGCTTGTGGTCTGTGGAATAAAATAAAGCATGAGGAGGATCCCCTCTCCATTCTGCTAGTCTGCCTATCTAGCATTAAAATATCTTTGATCCCTTCCAAATATCTTACAGTTGATTTACGGTTGGAAAATTATAGTGCAAAAATGTACAGGACATGCAAGTAACATAGAATCCAAGCGTACACAAGAAATTGGCAGAAATAATTTCAGAGATATTGTCTATATAATCTTTGAGAATTCTTGAACAAGAGACTTCAAAGCAGATTGGAGGAGGGCAAATATTGTCTTCTTAACCAAAAACAACGTTGTCAGCTTGATATCAGTACCAGAAAATGTTTATTTCATGACCACCTATGCACAATTACAGAGAAAGGTTGTGATTACTAAGAGCCAGTATGGGTTTTTCAAAACAGGCTATGTTAAATGTATCTTACCTCTTGTTGATGGATTTATGAGCTTGGTAGATCAGTGTAGTGCTGTGGATGTAGTGTATCTTGAATTCAGATGATTTTCTTCTGAACTGTAAGCTAGACAGTATTACAGTTAGTCTTAACTATCGTTAGTTGACAGACTGAATCCAAAGTTCACCAATGTCTTGGGTTCTGTCCTGGTGTTGTGTAACATCACCAGGACATCACCAGGACAAAATCTACATATAAATTATGTAGATTGATGGAATAATAGACTGAATCTGCCAATTTTTTAAAAAAACTTATTTTGAGACATTATGATTGATTCAATGTTTTTCTTTAGCTTTATTCTAATTTTCAATATTAGCATTTCATAGTCTTCTCCTCACTATTTTTTTTGGATGGGGATAGAATCTTCCTTTTGCTTCCAGTTATGTAATCTATTTTATTTATAAATTGGCCACCCAGTGCCGTCATTCCATTTGTTTGAAGTGAATAGATTGTTGGACTCACAAACCTCAATAAATTCTTCTTCTGTATAATTTTGTGGTCTTTGGCCAAAGTTTCCTACAGTGCTTGATTCTGGAACAAGAAGCATAGTCTAGGTAGAATATTCATTTTTATTGTGGCTATTCGCCCAAGGAGAGAGATCTCCAAGTTCATCCATTTTTACCTACAGTGCTTGATTCTGATCTGTTTCCTACCTTTGCATTCCAATTACCTGTAATTATCAATATGTCTTTTCTTGTGTGTGATCGCTTTCCTTTTTGATACTCAAATAGAATCATTTGTTTTTGTCCTCATGCTCCTCTGAAGTGGGAGGATTCACTGGGATTATGGTTATATTGATAGATTTCTCATGAACCTTGTTGATATTCCTTGACTGGTTTTGCTGTATCCTGTCACCTTGGTTCTTCATAGATTGTCATTAAATTAACTTGAGCTTATTTCTGAGTAGATATGTATTTAATTAAAAAAGAAAATTGCTCTTATACATAGAGACCTTTACACCCAGATATATGCAAACATATCCCCTTTACCCACCTAAATGGGCATATGGATCCCCACTGTCTTACCCATAGAGGTATAAACATACACTTTCCCCACAAAATATATACACTCCTCTCTTTCTCTCATAGACAGATATACATAAAATATTGTTTTGTGCTCTCTCTCTCTCAATCTTTCTTTCAACCTCTTATGTGCGAAAACCACATGAATATGCAAACACTTGATATACACTCCCTGACTCATTTCCTTGCATGCAACATTCATTTGCATATATGCCCTGTATGCACATAGAGAGATATACAAAAACACACAGTTCACCATCCCTCTTATGTGAGAGCATAGCAGCCTGTCCATCAATTTTCTGAGCCAGTGTCATGTTTTTGCTCCTCTTATGACAGTTATGTTCTTGTAACTTGGGTCCTAATAGGCCCAGGCCTCCCACCCAACTTTTTAAAAACTGCAACGCTTTGCCTTTCTAATAGAAGCATAATTTTTCTAGGGTGAGAATTCTCCTGGGATGCTTTTCCAAGAGACTATTGTAGATTGTGATAGTCTGGAAGGGTGCTATCACTCTAGTGCGCTATTGTGCTAATAATGGTTTAGGAACCTGGTGGCTCTTTATGGACTTTTTAATTGTTTGAAAAGTGGTTCATACCATTTTTGTCCCTCTAGGATCCTCTTGAAATAGGTTTGTAAGTTATTGAAAAGCCTATTTGACAAGTGACTGTAGAAAAGTTGAAAAATTGTTTTCATTCCATACAGCAAAGTTGCCCAAATCGTCTTCAATTCCCTGAAAAGCTATATATGTAGAGTAGGAGGACCTTACAACTCTAGGGCCACATAAAACCCTAGCTTCATTTCAAAAAATATTTTCAAGTCAAAAATTGGAACCTCTGGTAAAGGCAACATATCTTTTCTTCACTTGCCCATGGGCTGCTTGTGGCACTGAAGGAGAGGAAGTAGCAGAAAGAAAGAGAAAATGGCATGACCTTTCTCATTTTGAATCTGCCATTATTCTACTCACTTCATCCTTGCCCAGCACTCTCATATGGTGCCCTGTAGCTTATCCCTGAGGTTATGTAACCCTTGGAAGCAAAATAAATATCTCAACTCCCTTCCTATATCTGGAGAGGATACCATAGTGGAACTATCCTATAGTAGGAAAAGAACATTGTGCAGGCACATAATTATAAGCTTTTGTCGCCTTTCAGTATGATTACAATTCTTTCCTGGGAAATGCAATTCCCCCCCTTTTGCATTAAAAATAAAAAGGACCTATTCAAGGTTTGGCACACCTTGTTTAGTTACGTACTTCCATGTGTTATTTATTCTTTTACTCATTACCTGTCTTTCTGTTTCCTTCTTCTTAAGCTCCACTAAGGAAGGCAAAATTTGTTGAGAGCCCTCGAATCCCAGAATCTGAGCTTGGCTCGCCAACACTCACTTCAGCACCAAAACTGGACCTTGATGCCTACTGCCCTGGTAAGCATGCATGCAGAGCCCCACTGCATTCAGAGAGTGGGAGCTGGTCTGTTCTGACCCAGCACCATCTCATATCCCATAGAGGACTCACTGGCCTGTTTCTGGCCTCAGATAAATGGATTTGTATGCTTCCCAGATCTGGCAGTTTTTATTTTTGAGTCCCTGAAGAGTTTCATTTCTAAAACTGCAGTTACTCTGCAAGTGAAATATATGTTAGCTGACCCAACGCATCAAGCATTTGGATGTTAGAATGGGAATCACTATGATCTTTTGTGCCCTACCCAGTTGCAGGAAAATACATTTCTGGAAACAGAGAACCACATTTCTGAAACTTCTAGAAAACAATGACGCTGCAGAAAAATGTTTTCCCCATCACTGAAAATGGCTGTTGAATTCTGTAGTAAACCCTGGATAGGAGATAGACAAATGGCTCCCTGTACTCTTTGTGGTTGCCTAACTTGGCATAGATGCAAATTGTACCTCTTTGGAAGCTATCAAATTCTAGGAGTTACCACAAGAGCTTAAAAACAAAACAAGAAGATACTGGATCAGATAAACAACCAATGTAGCCCAGCATTCTGTTCCTGCAGAGACCAACCAGATGTTTGTAGAAAGCCAAAAAGAAAGAGTTGAATTTAACAGCATCTTTCCACTTGTGGGCCCTAGCTACCGGTTTTAGGGGCATACAGCCTCTGATGCTGGAGGTGATGTATAGTCATCATGACTGCTAGCTGTTGAAATCCCTTTTATTCATGAATTTATCCAAAAGCCACCCAAGTTGATGGCCATTATTATATATTCTGTGTGAAGAAGCACTTCCTCTTATGTGACTTGGGTCCTAATACAGTATTATAACAGATTCTTATTCCACACTGTGAGCAATGTAATGCATCTCTGTCTAATACCCACACCTCACTTGTTTTTTCTTGATATAAAAATACCTATCTTATATGAGAATTGCTCATTGTCCTTGAGCATTTTAGTTGTTTTTTTTCTGTGCACTTTCCAAATCTGTACTACTCTTTGGAATGCCCAATGACTAGAAATGTACATTGAATTCCAGGTCTGGTTGTGCCGTAGACATGTATAAGGGCATTCTGATATTGTCAGTTTTGTCTTCAGTTGCCAACCTGTTTATCTATAACACTGGATTTGCCTCTTTCACCATTGCTGCCAGTTGATTGTTCATTTTCATCATACTGTTCTCCACAACTTGAAGATTTCTTTGTTGATTAGTTTTCATTAGCTTAAGTCCCTTTGGGGTGTGTGTATGTGTATGGTGAAGTTAGGAATTTTTTTTGAATCAATATGCATCACTTCATGCATTAAACCACACATTCCATTTTAAAGCCCTAGTCCCCCGTTTGGAGTGATTATTTTGTATTGCCTCACAATCAATTATTCTTATAACAACCCTAAATAATTTGTTGCCATCAGCAAACAGACACCTCACTATTAATTGATAATGTCAGATCACTTTGTGGTAGTTTAAAAGCAGTTGTTCCAATACAGATTCTTCAGGGAAACCGGCTACATTTTTGTAAGAACTGACTGTTAGTTCTTGTGGAGTAGGCTGCCTCAGATGTGAAATACCAATAAAGAAGTAGCAACATCAGCTTGCGGGTGAAATACAGTTATTGCCATTCTAGGTAACAGATTCTATCTATCTATCTATCTATCTATCTATCTATCTATCTATCTATCTATCTATAAATGCTCTGTTCGTTTTGAGTGACACCATAACTCAAACACCACTGGACTAATTGCCACCAAATTTGACCACAAGACAAAGAGTGACCATCACTCAAAAATTGATTTTGTCATTTGGGAGTTGTAGTTGCTGGGATTTATAGTTAACCTACAATCAAAGAGCATTCTGAACTCCACCAATGATGGAATTGAACCATACCAGGACTCCCATGACCAACAGAAAATACTAGAAGGGTTTGGTGGGCATTGACCTTGAGTTTTGGAGTTGTAGTTCACCTACATCCAGAGAGCACTGTAGACTCAAACAATGAAGGCTCTAGACCAAACTTGGCATAAATACTCCATATGCCCAAATATGAACACAGGTGGCATTTGGGGAAAATGGGCCTTGACATTTAAGAGTTGTAGTTACTGGGATTTATAGATCATCTACAATCAAAGAGTATTCTGAACCCCACCAACAATAGAATTGGACCATACTTCCCACACAGAACCCCAATGACCAACAGAAAATACTGTGTTTTCTGGTGGTCTTTGGTGACCCTTCTGACACCCCCTCGCAACCCCTCCTGGCGTCCCGACCCCCAGGTTGAGAAATGCTGCCTTAAGGAAATGCTACTTCACCAGGGCAAGAAAACATAATCAAAGCCCTCCTGACAAAGAGCCATCCAGCCATAGATATAGATAGATAGATATTGATTCACACACACACACACACACACACACACATGTATATGACATAATATCATAGATTTGAAAGGAACCCCTAAAGAAGGACAATTATATGTTGCATGTTGCAGAGTAGGCAAACCAGACAATCCCTACCTCAACACTAACAAAGAATCAACAAGAAATACTGTTTACCCACAAGCATAAAGAAATTACATATATTAGAAACATTTCTCATTACTTTATTTTCCAGATCACCAGACTGGGCCACTGCAACGCGTGGCAGGGGATGGCTAGTTTTGTATAAAATCATACTCAAACTTTGCCCACCATTCCCAGCATTCTTGTTGTTTGGTTAAGTCTTCTGGAACTGATGGAAGCTAGAGAGAATCAGGTTGAGAAAGGCTTTGTTGTTATTTGCTATCAATTAATTGACTTTGACTTTTGATAATCCTATGAAGGAGAGATCTCAAGGACATCCTGTGATTAGCAGCCCTGCTCATGTCTTCCAGACTCACAGCTCTGGCTCCCCTGATTAAGTATATCCACCTTCAATGCAGCCTTTCTCTTTTCCTATTGCCTTTTGCCTTAACAAGCATTATGGTCTGTTCTCATATCTATATGTTAGCAGAATTTTTAACTACAAGCCTATTCTATTGCAGAAAGATCTCTTGTAGTAACAAAACATGATATGCTATTTTTAAATTCTTGTTTATGCCAACCATAGTTTGCCACATTTTGAAGAAACATGTCACTATGATTTCCTATCTATATAAATAAAATGTAATGTTCGTTTGTGGGATTAACATAACTCAAAAACCACTGGACGAATTGACACCAAATTTGGACACAATATACCTATCAGGCCTACAAGTGACCATCACTCATAAAAACACTGAAAAACACAGCAGAAGAGACTTAAAAAGCCGCAAAACAAAAAATATATTACAACGCATGCTCAAAACCACATTTATACACAAACACATATATACACATATACACAAATATATACACACACACATATACACATATACGTAGACTGGGCCACAGCAATGTATGAAGGGATGGCTAGTAAATAATATATTTTCTCCTTGTTTGCATGAAGGAATGGGGAGAAGTTGGTAGCGCACATGAACCAAAGCTTCATATTGTGCTGCCAGTATATTTTTCCATGATACTAAAACTGAAGAGGGTTTGGTTATGTACTCTTTGGATGCTAAACAGGCTTTATTGTTTCCTGTTTAAGAAGCAGACTCAAGTTTAGAGCTAATTCTTATTATTTATTTATTTTATTTATTTCAAACATTTGTATCGGTGACAGTTTCATGAGTTACAGTAATGTATGAATTCTTCCAAATAATTTTCAAGCCTTGCCTTCTGCTTTCAGTGTGATTATAGAGAAATGGCAAATAAAAACTCAATATTACTTCTCTGATACATTGATCCCTGTAAGAGTTTCTGACCTTCTTCGTTTTTGTATGCTGGATCCTGCTTGAGATATAACAATGTAACAGGTGGCTGCTCAGTTTGCTCTCCCCCCCCACCTTTACCATCCTTGGTGTTGTGTATACACATGCATCTTTCTCTCTCTCTATCTCACACATACACAGACTGAATGGCTTAGTGTTATTTTTCCATAACCAAAACAGTTTGGAAACCACTGTCTTACAGCATAAAAACGACTAAGGAAGGGGAAAAAGTATGGTGGTAACTTTAAGGTTAACTAGTGGTTTGCATTTTTGCATGAGCTTTCATGGATCTATTTTTTTTTTTTTGGATGTAGTACCACAATGTTGAGTATTTCACAGTTGTTGTCCAGAGCAGATATAACATGCTGTCCTATTGTGCTGATGGTATTAATTTTGTAGATATAAGTATACAACATTGCCAGATGATTGGGCAGGAACTGCATTTTGTTTCCTTGCAGATTACAAATGACTGTTTTTAGATTTTGATTGTAAAGCATAGTTTCTCTTCAGTAGGTTCTCTGAGATTTTGACATGTGTGTATCTTGGTGTAGTTTGCAGAAACTTGCATTCCTGGAACAAAAGATCCCATATCTCTGACTTAACCTGATGTGTGCCTTGACTTCTGCTCATCAGTTCACTTTTTCAGTATCTTGAGGGACTGCAGGCGGCTGCAGATGTGAGAATTCCATTAAATCTTTATTTAGCTGCAGCTTGCTGCCTGGCTGCTTCTGAACTTGGACTAGTTGCTTGGCAACCTCATGTAGGCTGTGCACAAAGGGAGCACAATGCAGGCAGACAAGACTTTTATCTGAAGAGTTGAGGAGGATCTATTTTCAGCTATTTTCTGAAATCTTGATTGCTGAGTACTCTTATAACCAGATATATTCATGATAATTGTATTCTTGTGATGGGGACACTTTCATGAACTACTTTCATAAATTTTGGTCATTTAGATTTTCTATTAAAACAGATTTTCAACAGAATGGATACAATGTCAGAAAAAAGAACTTCACTGTAATAGCAAGCAGTGGATTGCCCTAAAAAAGGCTCACTTGAATTAAGGTGATTGAAAGTTTTATTAAAAGGAAATAAACACAGTTTTGCTTTTGCTGCATGGATAGATGCATTCTTAATCATGAACGAGGCCCTAGA